AGAGAGAGAGAGAGAGAGAGAGAGAGAGAGAGAGAGAGAACTAGATCTAAAGACTGCATCTCCTCTCATTGGTTTCTCAATTTCCTGAGTGAGCATGGAGCAAAGTAGGAAGTGGGGGAGAGGAGAGAGAGAGAGAGAGAGAGAGAGAGAGAGAGAGAGAGAGAAAGAGAGAGAGAGAGAGAGAGCGCTTCCCACAGAAATCAGGCCCCAGCACAGCCCAAGGGGGGCCAGTGCACAGCTCCTGTGCACCTGAGCTCCACGGCACCTGTTCTGCTGCAGGTACTTGTTGAGGGGCCCCAGCTCCGCCATCTCCATCACCAGCATCCAGGACTCAGCCTCGCAGATTCCGATCATGCGCACAATGTAGGGGTTGTCCAGCTGCTGCATGACGTTCGCCTCTGCTAACAGCTCATCCTTCAGAGCGGGGTCGTTGGCCTCGTTCTTCAAGATTTTCACAGCCACTGTCTTCACAACTCTGTAACACAGATTGTAGCTCATGAGAAACTTTCCAAACTGCCTGGAAGTTCTCTTCCGTGAGGCATGATGCCCGGGTGTGGCTGGGGTCATGGAATACACAATGCCAAGGGTTGACCACTTGCACAAGCACCTGCAAGCACCATGTAGACATATACACATAAGCACACACATGTGTGTGCATACACACATGCACACACACACACACACATACACTTAAAAGTGACTAGTACCATTTTTCTCATTCTTCCAGAAATTTTATCACAGGTGTAGTTTTTCAAATCACACATAGTTAATGCTTGTTCTTTCATTTAAACCACATTTTGCTAGAATATTTTCATGATCCATGTGATATTTTAATGTGAAAATGAAAAATCTATATTTTGGAAACATGTTGGGGCTTGCTTTAATCCAACAAAGCCCAATGGGAGAGACTGCTTCTTTATCTTTAACTCTCAGGTTTAACAATGTGTGAGCTTCAAACTGGGCATGGTAGTGCAGACCTGTAACCCCCCAGCACCCCAGAGGTAGAGATGGGAGGCCCCAAACCTTAAGGTCATCTTTAATTCCCTATCTGTCATTTCTATCAGATCAGCTATGTCTTTTGCAAGAGAGCAGCAAGACCAGCTTTGTCTGTCGCTGCTTCCTCATAGGAAGAAAGGGTGGGGATGGTCACTGAATTGTCACCTGGATTCCTGCAGCTCTCTCTCTGGCACCTCCCAGACATCTCTATGAGATTCTGTCCTAACTAAACAAAGACTCATGGTCTTGAGAGGTCTTAGCGCACACAGACTGTGAAGGTTAGCAGGAGTGTGTGAGGTCGTATGTGGGGGACTATGGTGGGTTGAAAGAAAACGGCCCCCAAAGGGAGTGACACTACTAGGAGGTGTGGCTTTGTTGGAGGAGGTGTGGCTTTGTTGGAGGAGGTGTGGTCTTGTTGAATGAAGTGTGTCACTGTGGAGGGGGCACTGAGGTCTCATAAATGCTCAAGAGACCGTCTAGTGTCTCAGACCACGTCTTGTTGCATGCAAGTCAAAATGTAGGACTCTTCTTTACCACCAAGTCTGCCTGCATAATACCATGACGCATAATGGACACCAAGTCTGCGCACCATGATTAGAATGGACATCTGAAAATAGAAGCCACCCCATTAAATGTTTTCCTTCATGGTGTCTCTTCACAGCAATAGAAACCCTACCTAAGACAGGGACTATACACATTACTGTAGAAGCCAGACTTCTTGATGGTTCAGTTCCCGTAAGCAACCCTCAGACATGCTCTGAAGTCAGTCTAATAACTCACTAGCCCCCATGGTGGACTTTGGGGGAATTGTACTCTGGTTTGTGGTTGGTGCTCTGTAAGTAGACACTTGTTTACATCTGCCAGGGTTAGCCTCTGTAGTACTCAGTCTTCTAATCTATTGCTCTTTGGTAGACAGAGGAACAATGTGCCACTACCTGTAAACAAGGGTAGCAGACAGTGATAGAGAATGTTCCAAGCTGAGGAAAGTTCCAAATTGAAAAATACTAAAACAGCTCCTATGAGGTCCACCAGCTATGCCATACATATAGCTTCCTGCAACATCATGTGATTTGCTGGCTAGGTTATGTCTATATGCATATGTGAATACAATGTTCCTTTGTGGTATTGAAAATGGGTGTCTGTGCCCAGAATTAAAGAACATACATTGTTTTACTTTTTGTTGTTGTTGTTGTTGTTTCTTTTTGCAACAGAGTCTTATGTAATCCATTCTAGCCTCAAGCCTGCTGTATAGTGGAGGTTGACTTTAAACTCCTGGTCCTCCTGCCTCTACCTCTGGAGTGCTGGGGATCACAGGTGGGTGCCATCATGCCCAGTTCAAAGCCCAGTTCAATGTTAAAGATCACAGTTAAAGGCGCACTTCTTTCCCAGTGGACGCTGTTAAATTTAAGCAGCCCTCAATGTGTTTCCAAAATATAGATTTTTCATTTTCTCATAAAAATATCACATGAATCATGCTGAACTTTTGAAAATATTCTAACAAAATGTGTTTTAAATAAAAGAACAAATATTAACTACATATGATTTGAAAAACTGTACCTGTGATAAAATTTCTACAAGGATGAGAGTTGCTTCTCTTGCTGAACCTTCAAATTGGAGAATAAAAACAGTCAGTTAAGGGGCTGTGAGAGGTTCGGTAGGTAAAGGTGCATGTTACCAAGCTTGAGGATCAAAATTCGATTCCTCAATCCCCATCCATACTTCCCATACCTGCATGCGTGTATACTCACACTACACACACACACACATACACACACACTGCACACATCTAAGAAAGAGAATGCATCAAATAACAGAATAAGTCAGACAGACACAGAGAAAAGCACACACGCTAGTGTTGTAGTGATTTGGGATGCAGCCCATGGTCTTTACAGGTGCATTTAGATAGTTCAGTTCTGGAGGAGACTCTCTGGGTCCTCCTGGAGCCATGAGAGGCTCCATTCTGTCATCTCTAGCCACCTACTTTGACTTTTATATTTGGGTTCCTTGGTGCATCTATGGTGTGAGGTAGGGATCCAAATTAAGAAGTTTTTAAAAAGTTTCTTGATTCCTATAAATATTTGCAAAAGAAAATACCACCTCTTCTAGAGAAGTCAAAGAAAAAGTGATGCCCCACTAATTTCATGAGGCTGCCATTGTTCTGATGTCTGAACATTTGTTTATGTTGCCCCAGGAAGAGAGTTTCTGAGACTCCTCATTTTCCAACCCTTAGGCTCTTTTACAGACAAGAGAACAAGGCCCCATTGTAGGAACTGTAAAAAGCAATTGATAACTTCACGGGGTGGTTTGAATGAGATAGCCTCTGTAGGTTCACATATTCAGTTTTTTAAAAGGTTTGTTTTAAATTTTGTATCTAAGTGTGTGTCTGTGTTGGTATATGCATGTTGAGTGCAGGTACCCTCAGTGATGTGGGAGTCCCCTCTGTGTGTTGCTTATATTGGTTAGTGAATAAAGAAACTGCCTTGGCCTGATAGGACAGAACTTAGGTAGGCAGAGAAAACAGAAGTGAATTCTGGGAGGAAGAAAGCAGAGTCGGAGAGATACCATGGACCCACTGTTGGAGATAGATGTTCTGAGAATTTGCTGGTAGGCCATGAACTCGTGGTGATGTACAGATTAATAGAAATGGGTTAAACTAATATGTAAGAGTTAGCCAATAAGAAGTTAGAGCTAATGGGCCAAGCAGTGATTTAATTAATACAGTTTCTCTGTGGTTATTTTGAGGCTAAGATAGCCAGGCAGCCTGGACGAACAAGCAGGCCCTCCTCCTACACCCTCAATCCAGAAGAGGGCATCAGAGTTCTTGGAGCTGGAGTTACAGGCAGCTGTGAGTCATCTGACATGGGTACTGCAGAGTGAATTTAAGTCCTATGGAAGAGCAGTACACCCTCTTAACCTGAGTCATCTCTCCCTCTCTTAATAAAAGACTCTTAATAAAAGTCTCTTTAAAAGTGACTGTGATTTACATACACCTATTTAAAAATGGCCTATATGCATGTGCACAGGACACAAAACACCAGAAACCAAAGTTTTACAAACATATAAAGATCCAACAAATGCCTACACTAAGGTTAGTTGCAGGTAGTCATGTTTGGGAGGTACAATACAGTCATATTTTCTTATGAATTTGCTTATTTCTATTTAGTTATTTTCTACGAAGCACAAGTATCAATACACACATTTCATTACCGTAACTACAGTTAGCACACACAAAGGGTGCTTTCTTTACAGAAGAGTTGGAAATGAAGGTGGGCGAAAGGGAACAGTTGATAAAAGAGCTTGCTGCCAAGCCTGATGACCTGAGTTCAATTCCTGGAACCCATGTGAGAAAGAGAGGACTAACTCACATGTCCTCTGACCACATGAGATGAGTGTTGGGTCACATGTGCACATACACAATAAGACATAATTTATCAGAAATGAATACATATAATGCTAGTGATAAAGTGCTTAGCCATGCCAGGCTAAACTTCACATCTGGGATTAGATGAACATTCTAGGTGCATTCTTTGAAGTTTTCCACACTGCCTGCTCACACTGAGGGTGGCAGTAACACAATGGGGCAACGGTACTTACTTTTTCATTTGGTAGTATCCCTTTTTCACCGTCCCGAAGTTACCAGAGCCCAGTTCATTGTCCTCCAAAGTTAGCAGGCTTCTGTCTAGGTAGACCTCTTTGGGCCGGATCTCTTCAGGGTCAGCGTAAGGGCTCTCATACACCTCTGTGTCCATGGGCAGGGCCTCTCTCTGAAGGCCTGCAAGACAATCAGGTAACACCTAACTCCAGACAGGACGCCTGTGAGCTTTTACCCATTGGCCCCCTGCCCTCCACTCCTTTGGGCTTATGGGACATTTGCAGGAGGGTGAGAACTGAAGCAAGGGGAGATGGGTCTTCTATACCAGTAGCAAAGGTGGACAAAGCCCCCTTAGGCTTTAAGAACATTCTTTGTGACCCTTTGTGAACAGTCTTTGACATCCTCCTGTGGAGAGGAGACACGGAGGACATATTCCTTGCTGGCTTTTTATACCTGAACCATGATGCATGTGCTTTCCAAGGCAAGGCTATGAAAAGCCAAAATGCTTAATATTTGAGATTCTAAGGATGGCGTCCTGCTGTCCTGAGGCTACCAAACTGTGAGAAGGACCATGAAACTCAACATCTAGTCAACAATGACCTTGATGGCATGTGGGACACTGTACCTGACTTTTGCAGTGCTGGGAAAGAAGCCCAGGGCTCTGTGCAAGTCAGACAAGACCTCTACCGTGAGCCACATCTCCAGCCAGAAGGAATAAATTAAAAGAAAGAGAATTCCCTCTTGCTGCTTTAAGCCTGTTTGGAGGCAATTTATAGCAATAAACAAGCTCACTAATAAAACAAAAAAAACCATAGAGACACTCATGAACCCAAAAAAACCAACCAGAGGTCCCAGTTCTGGGAGTAAGTCACCTCTATGGCCCCCCAATCCTCATGACTATGAGTTGTATCTTCTGTCAAGACCACATGCTCCTCCAAGAAAGGCAACTAACTGGTCTATGGAGTGTGGCATACACAGGATTTGAAGCGGAAGTATGGTGCTGTCAATGGTGACAACTGTTGGGATCTTGTTGTTCGTTTTGATTGTAAAAGACCGTTTTCACTTGACAGAACTACTTATTTTATGGATAAGGGATGTCTTCTGCCTCTGATTGGACATCACTGCCACCTAATGTTGACCCTCACCATAAGGGAAATTTGGAACAGTGCCCTGAATTTGTAAGCTGACTCCACACACTGACAAGCATGTGTGCACCCTGCTCTGAAGGTTTACTGAGTAAAAGCACATCTCTCACCTCTGTCCGGGGCCCAGGACCCTCCTGTTGGCTCATAGGGGTTGAAGGACACTGTACTCTCAGGACGACTCCCTTGGGGTGTGGCAGCCTGAAGCCCAGAAATGACAGCATGTTATCATTTCTGCATGGATGCCATTATTTTCAAATGATCACTGGTTAACTTATGCAGGGGAGACAGAGGAAAAGAGTTAAGAAGAGGTCAGAAGGCTTATCTCAGTCTTCAGGCAACTGTTTGGACCTGAGAAGGTTAGACAGGCTCATGCCTTACAGCGCCCACCCCTGACATGGTCTCAGAGCTGGAGGGAGAGAATCCATTCTGTTCATTCCAGTAGAACTTCCTTCCCAATTATGTGCCCTCTGTGTGTTTCCCACCTCCCCAAAGATGGGAGAATTTCATACGCTCCCCATGGGTTTATTTCTGCCTTGAACTTGCCCTTCCTCGTCTAATTTCATGAGGAAGTTATTGAAAAAGCGAAGTCAAGTTGTGTCCACCTGTTTTCATTCCATACAGATTTAGGCACAAGGCACTGATGCCACAGGGTAGCCCAGGCCACTTAGCTGCAAGCTCCAAAGAAGGATGCATCCTGCCGAATCCCCACCCCCACCCTGTGCACTGCTGCCATTGATGATAACAATAAAGATGGCAAGGGCAGGCAGCGGGCACATGCCATGCCACAAGACAGGGATGGTGGCAGCAGGCACGTGCCATGCCACAAGACAGGGATGGTGGCAGCGGGCACGTGCCGTGCCACAAGACAGGGATGGTGGCAGCAGGCACGTGCCATGCCACAAGACAGCAATGATGGTAGCAGGCACGTGCCGTGCCACAAGAGAAGTTCTCTTTGCCTTCCTGAAGAAGAGGGACTCTTCCTTTTTACCTGTGACTGGTCACTGAGGCAGAAGCTGAAGGAAAGGCTCACTGGCCCTTAGTCATTTATATATAGGTGAGGGGCTTTTCACTCCCTCCATTAAGAGCGGTTTGCCTTGTGAAGTAGGTGGAGGGGGAACTCTCCTTGTATTCCTATGGATTTTTCATTTGAAACATTTCTCTCTTCTTCTGACCCATCTTGACTGACAAATTAAAGCAAGATGATGGCTACTAAGCTTGTCTCACAAGCAAACCACGGTTTGACTTTAACTGTTTGACTCCTCCCCTCCCATTTTTATTTATCGTGCACATCTGTTTACCTTATCAGATCCACATATTGCCATGAAGAAATGAGACAGTACCAGATTTGGGGGGATTTAAAGAAACAGAGACATTCAGCTAACATTACACAGCCACTGTCTTGAAGCACACATTAAATTCTCACTTGTCTCACTAACAGGACATTTCCACACATCAAAATTAACAACAGAGTCACACTGTGTCATTACGAACACAGGGACATGTGTCTCAAAATACTTTGACTTCCCAGCTACGTGGTGTTTGCCATGAGGTAGAGGCTGGCAATGCCTGTGGCAAAGGATCTCTCAATGAAGTCAGAGGACGTCTGGTTTCAGATGTCATGGAGATGCCACTGGATTCATTTTCTTGTGGTTTGTCCAAGCACTCCTGCTGGGTTATACAACAGAACTAACCATGACAACAGAGCAGAAGTTATGCAAACATAGGCATTAAATCAAAGCTCAGCAGCTGGGCCATGCTGTAATGAGTGATTAGGAAAAACACACAACACAGGCACGTGAAAGAATGGATGTTGGATGAATAGGTGGGTGAATGAATGTATGTACATATGCATGTATGTATGTGTATATGTATGTATAGATGGATAGAGAGATGTGTGGGTGTGTGGATAGATATGTGGATGGATGAGTGGATGGACAGACAGATAAATGGATGGATAGTTGAACAGATGGATGAATGGATAGATGGATGGGTGGATGGATGGATGGATGGATAATGGATGGTTCGACAGAGAGATTTAAAAGTAACTTTTCATTAATGGGAAATGTGAAATGTAAACATGTATAGTTTAAAATGAGTTTGCTCTTGAGTCTCTGCACTCAGAGAGGGGACTAGGTTCAGGTAAATCTCTTATGACCCTCTTAAACTTTTACATATGACTTCAGGAGTGTTGGGTGTTGCTTGAATCCCTCTTATCATTTATACTACCATTGCCCTGGCTAAGGACAACTCTCCTAGTTCATACTTGGTAATTCCTATCATATCATATCTACCCTTCCCACCCTGCTATGCTCCCTCTATAAACAAACTCCAGCCAGAAAGAGTCTTTAAAAAGTGTTTTCAGGTTAGCACAATGACAATTTTAAGTCTTTCTGATTTTTCTCTGTACACAGGAAAGTTCTGTGATTCCCAAGACACACTCTGACCCACCATGGAGTTAAAGGATACCCCAAGATGGGGAAAACATGTCTATCCCTTCCTATGGCTAAAGAGTTCCTGCCACCTGCCACTCAGTGCCTTGTTCCTGGGCTGCACACAGCCTCTCTAGAATAGTCTCCAGGGCAAGAGGACTTCAAACGGCTTGTTAAAATAAACCAGCACCCAAAATCTGCTAGGGATGTTTTAAAAGCAGAGTTTAGGGACTTAGAAACCACTGGAAAAATGGCAGTGTATCAGAAGTAAGCGGTAATGGGTGGCAAGAGACCCAGATCATCCAAGCTCCTGCAGGGAGTTCATATCCAGACTGACAGGTGCTGTTCCTGTGTCTATGTGATAGACACAGGAAAGGGCTGGGCACCTCCTATGGAGAGCAGGCCTCCACTTTAAGTCGGTGTGGTTCAAGGCCTCATTTCTGTTCTACCCATCACAAAGCATTCTATGAGAATGAACATTCCTGATCCAGAAACAGAGACCCCCAAGACCCTCCAAGGGAAACATAACTTTTCTCATCTGGATGTCTCAGCCCTCAGCAGGTCCCCACCACCTCCTGCCTCATGCACAGGCAGAGACCTATGGGATTGGGGCAATAATGGCATCCAACTTGGGGCACATTCTGAAGAAGGAATGGGTGGTTTTCCACTGGGATAGTTAAAAGAGCAGTTGGCTGCTTTATGACATAGATGAAGACACAAGGCCACACTTCCGCTTTCCCACAGTACTTGAGAACAGGCCTTTGCTGGGACCACCGTCACCACTAAATGCTCTGGAAGCAAAACCTCCAGGACTAGGGCTCTTTTAAAGGAAGGAACACAAAGGCACAATGACAACCAACCAAGTATGGGCCAGTGTTAAAATGGAGGGAAATGTGAACCGCAGTGAGACGCACACTGTGGGTAGGCAGCCCTGACCCACGTCATCGGTCTCTCCACTTTGTATTTCGTAGTCTGCCCCTTCTCTGGCATCATCTTTTCTGCACCGAGAACAGAGCTGTAAGGAAGTGTTGACAGCCTCACCCTCGCCGCTCCTTCCCACCAAATCATGCCTTCCAGGTGCCTCTAGATGGTGTCAGCTACTCAACCTTTGCTAGACAGTTTTCAAGTTCAAACTACTCTGTCACAATGCATGAAAAGCAATGATGCATTAGATATACGTGTGTGCATGCATGATATTGCGTGTGTGGCTGAGCAGCTATGTATGTGTCCTTGGGGTCGGGGGCAGAAGTCAACCTTAGGACCCATCCACCGTAGTATTTGATACTGTGTCTCCTTGGCTGGGTGGCTGGTCAGTATGCCCCAGAGATCTGCCAGACTCTACCTCTCCAGGCCTGTGATTGCCAGAGCTCTCCACCACATGCGGCTTTATATGTGGATACAGGGGATCAAACTCAGGCCCTCACAGTTGTGTGGTGAGTCCTTTATTGACTGCTCTCGCTCTCTCTTGCTCTCTCATCTATCTATCTGTCTGTCTGCCTGTCTATTATCTATCTATCTATCTATCTATCTATCTATCTATCTATCTATCTATC